CCCTCAGCAGAACGGTGTTGCTGAGAGTCGCATTCGTGAGATCACCAAGACGGCCCGCTGCCTCCTCACTCATGCCTCCACGCCCCCTTCTCTTTGGGGCTATGCCCTTGTCCATGCTGCTCTCCTTACTAATCTTTACCCACATCCTCAACGCCAGTCTGTCACTCCCACTGAGCTCTGGGCTAGCACCAAGCCAGATGCTGCCATTCTCCGTATCTGGGGTTGCAAGGCATATGTCCTCATCCCCCCACCTGACCGCTCTCGGCAGGCAGGAAAGCTCGCCTCCAAGGCCATTGAGTGTGTCTACCTTGGCCACGCTCGCTCTGCCCCTGGTTACCTCTTCCTTCACCCGTCCTCAGGCCGCCTCCTACAGAGCCGTGACGTGGTGTTCGATGAGAGCATCCCGTTCTATCATTCTGTTCCGCCTTCCGACCCCCTTCCTCCTCTCTCCCGCCCCCTCACCTGGGCTGATGCTGTCATTCCCCCACTCTTTCCCCAGGCTCCCCTCCTTCCTCCAAATCCTGCTCCTCCCCCTCCTCCTTCCTCAGGTGACATTTACGACCCAGCTGTCCCTGACTCCCCTGCTCACTCTGCCTCATCGCACCAGCAGCAGTAGCAGCAGCAGCAGCAGCAGCAGCAGAAGGAGCAGCAGCAGCAGCAGCAGCAGCAGGTGCAGCAGCAGCAGCGGATGGAGCAGCAGCAGCAGCAGGAGGTGCAGCAGCGGATGGAGCAGCAGCAGCAGCAGCAGCAGCAACCGCAGGCAGTGCAGCAACAGCAGCCGCAGCAGGAGGTGCAGCAGCAGCACCAGCAGCAGCCACAGCAGCAGCAGCAGCAGCAGCAGCAGCAGCAGCCACTACAGCAACCTCATCGGCATCGCCGCACCACCTCTCCGTTCATCCTCCCACGCATCCACACTCGCTCTCACGGCCCACTCATAGGCCATCCATGGGGTTGGCCAACACCACCCCCACCCTCCCTTCCCTTCATTGAGGACTCCCATGAGGAGCTCATTGGCGTTCAGCAACAAACACCTTCCCTCACGCCTCTCTACCCGGGCTTCCTTGGCCTCCTCATCCTTGGCATCGCTACCGCTCCCACCAGATTCACTCCGTCCAACTTCCTTGAGGCCATCACCTGCCCCGATGCTGCCAAGTGGATCCAGGCTATCTTTGCTGAATGCGAGGCCTTCATCCGCAATGCCTCATTCGTTAACATTGTCCCCTCTCCTGACGACGTCATTGTTGAAGGCCTCTGGGTGTTCCGAGTGAAGCAGCTGCCGGGTGAGGAGCCGGTCTACAAGGCCCGGTATTGTGCCAAGGGCTTCACCCAAACCCATGGCATCGACTACTGGGAGACATTCTCTCCCACTGCCAAGCTCCCAACTCTCCGTGCCATCCTCGACTATGCTGTTCGCATTGGCATGGAGATTGCCTCCATGGATGTCTCCAACGCCTTCCTGCAAGGCGAGCTCCAGGAGCGGGTCCTCTTGCGGCGGCCTCCAGGCTTTCATGCAGCCTTCCCTGCCAGCACAGTCTGGGAGCTGCGCCGCCCGGTTTATGGCCTCAAGCAGGCTCCTCGCGAGTGGCACAACAAGCTGGCTGCCACTCTGCAGTCCTTGGGGTTCCATGCCTCTCAGTCTGATGCCAGCCTTTTCCTTCGCTCCTCTCCCACCCGCTTCTTCATCCTGGTGTATGTCGACGACATGATCCTGTTCGCTGACGATGCTGCCGCCATGCAGCAAGTGAAGGACGCCCTGCATGCGCGCCTCAAGTGCAAGGACCTGGGTGAGCTCAAGCACTATCTGGGCATGACCATCACCCGGGACCGCACATCGCGCACCATTACCCTCTCTCAGTCCTTCTACATCGACCAAGTCTTGCAGCGGTTCGACATGGCGCAGGCCAAGCCGGTTACCACTCCCTTGCAGACCGACCACCAGCTTGCCCCTCCTCCTGCTCCCTCCTCCTCTGACCATCCTTACGCTGAGCTCGTCGGCTCGCTGATGTACGCTATGATGTGCACCCGCCCCGACCTTGCCTACCCCATCAGTGTTCTTGCTCGATTCGTCGGTACCGGTCGCCACACTGATGCGCACTGGGCTGCAGCGAAGCGGGTCCTCCGCTACCTCCGTGGTACCAAGGACTATGTCCTCACCCTCAGAGGCTCTTCTCCTCCCCTCCTCTCTGGCTTCAGTGACTCCTCCTGGGCTGACTCCCAGCCGGATCGCCGTTCCTCTCAAGGCTACGGCTTCACCCTTGGCAGCGGCCTCATCAGCTGGCGCTCCACTCGCTCCTCCTCCATTGCCCTCTCATCCTGCGAGGCTGAGCTCTATGCTTGCACCATGGCCGCTCAGGAGGCTCGCTGGCTCACCTTCCTCTTTGCTGAGATCGGTGCTCCTCAGCGCTGTCCCACCCTCTGGTGCGACAACGCCAGCACCATCCATCTTACGAAGGACCATGTCTTCCATGGCCGCTCCAAGCACATTGAACTCCGCTACTTCTTCGTTCGAGAGTTGGTCCAGCAAGGTCACTTGGTGGTCCGCAAGATCGCTGCAGAGGCCAACTTGGCCGACATCTTCACCAAGGCCCTCCCGAAGACCGCGCACTCTGCCCTCCTCCGCCTTCTCGGCCTTGGGCCCCGCCCCCCTTCCTGATTCTGGGGTTGTACCCTACATATACACTAGCTTTGCATGCTATGGGGTTGTGTTAGAATATACCATGCTATGCTAGTTGTGTATATTGTGTTTACATCCCTAGTTGGGTGTACACCTGTGTTGGGGTGTCAATCCAACCCAATTGTGGTTGGAGCCCCCAAACACAAGGACCATAATTGTGGGGGCACCACAAGTGGGTTGGTTAAACCACTGGTGGTACACCACACTTGGACCACCTCCAACAGGTGGTCAACCACATTTGGAAGGATCCTCCCTCCCTTGTGATTGGTCCTAACCCCCTCTTTTCCCTTCCAACCTTCCCTTCCTAGCTCATCTCTCTCTTCCTATGTAATGCCTTTGCTTCATCAATAAACTGAACCTTTCTGTTTCTAACATGGTTTCACCCAGAAAGAGTATCTTGACTTCTTCCAAACCTTCTCGCCCAGTGCCAAGCTGTTAGAAATAGACTGCAAATACCACTTTTGTATTTGTACTTTTATATCCTAGTTTAGGTTATGAATGTTCTAGTGGATTGGGGTGAACTCACAAATCCCAACCTCACCCAATTGTGATCCTCCCAATCTCCAATTACCCAATTGGAGATTCAGGAGATCCCAATGGCGATTCCCTCCAATTCCCCTTTCATCCATTCACTCTCACCTTGCCATGTACTTATAGAGCCTTGGGCTCCGTACCTGATGAATCTTTTCAACTCTATTTCTTACATGGTATCAGAGCGACCTATCCGCACACGCGGATCAAGGTCCGAATCTCAACGTGGCCGCGCTACGCGCACTTCATCATCGCGACATTCGTTTCGAGTCGTCGGAATTTCGACGTGCTCCACTCTCCAGTCGCGCCTCTCATCGTCGACCGCCTTCGCGCTCGACCTCGTTGAATTTCTCATCTCTGAAGCTTTCACGCTTCTCATCGTCGATTTCCTACTCGGTTCTCCTTGGTCTTAAAACTCGTTCTCGAGTTTCCCCTCACACCCCGCTTGAATAGGCGAACTCCCCTCGCAAAATCGCCTCCACGAACGTCTCGCGTCAAATCAAGAGCAGGTACATAGGTTGAAGCGGAGCGGAGCTGGTTGCAGAGCTGGTTGCGGAGCTGGTTGCGGAGCTGATTTTAGAGCTGTGTAGCTGCGGGACAGGGCCTGGGGGTGTGTGGGTCCGGGGTTAGACATAGGCTCAGATTCAGTTTCAAGTCGGCGTTTTAACGATTTTTCGCCGACGCCATTTCCTACTTAGCGGCATTTTGATACAGCCGTCAGAGTGATTTTCAGCAATTCTCGTCGACCAATTTCCAGAAGTGCTGCGCTGCACACCGACAATGGCTTACTCAACCACTTCACTCGCCAACCCGATCCCGCTCCTTCGTCTCAAGCCGGACGGTACATGCTCCAACTACAAGGCTTGGCGCTATGGTGTCGACAAGCACCTCCTCAATCGCGAGGTGAAGGGGCTCGAGCTCACTGACGTCCTTCTCAACATCGGTGACGGCAAAGAGCCTCCTAAACCCGAGAGGAACGCCGATCCAGCTAATGCCGCCGCCGAAGCAGTTTATGCTGCTACACTGCTCAAGTACAAGAATTGGGAGAAGGCCGATGGAGCGGTTATTAGTGTCTTCATGGGCACCACTCCTCCCGAACTCGTCGAAACCTACCACTTGATGTTGCCTTGTCTCTTTGCACGTGCGCATGGCAGGCAGACATCTGCCAGCTGGGCATGGACCAGCGCAAGGTGAACGTGCTGGCAAGGGAGTACTGTGACGACATCAAGAGGAAGATGAAGCCCATCATCCTTTCTCACCGTAAGATGCATGGCTGTCTGTTGGGTCGACTCACAAGTCATCAAATTAACGCAAGGTGCATGTGTCGGTTAGAGAGTACTGCGACGACATCAAGAGGAAGATGAAGCCCATCATCCTCTCCCACCGTAAGAAGTGCTGGTTAAGCTCACTTTCTCCTTTGCTGCAAATCTGGCAATACGAGGCTGCTTGTTATTCCTGGCAGTGTTACATGCTGTTGGCTGTATGCTTGCTGCTGCTACTTCCACGACTCTTTGTGCACTCACTGTTTTTGTTGAGAATGCAGACGTGCTGCCCGGGTTGTTGCAAGGGCAGGAGAAAATGTCTAAGAGTGACCCAAACTCTACAATTTTCATGGAGGACGAGGAGGTAAGCCATTATTGCCATCGGGAAAAGATTTACCGGATGAATTTTTTAGGAGGCCGATGTCACCACAGCCACTATCCACTGCAATAAGTGCCTAAAAAGCTTGTGACCTCCATCTTCTCTGGTCAGGCGGAGGTGAATGTGAAGATCAAGAAGGCCTTCTGTCCGTCAGGGGAGGTGGAGGGGAACCCGTGCATTGCCTACGTGCAGTACATCGTGCTGCCCTGGTTCAAGCAGTTTGAGGTGGAGCGCAAGGAGGAGCACGGGGGCAACACGTAAGTACATTGGGCTTTGCTTTGCTTTGCTCACAATCTGTCACTGCCCTGGCCCAGATTCCGGTCCCTGCTGTCCTTTGCCCAAATCTCTCGTCACCGCCTGCCACACTGCTGCATGTCCCTTGCTTCTCTGTTCTCTCCCCACTCTGCCTTTCCACCTCACCACGTGCAGCTCGCTTTCCTGCCCTTTCAGCATCTACACTCATGCAGAGCAGCTGTGTGCGGACTACAGAAGGGTAAACTGCACCTAGGCGACCTGATGACAAGCATTGCCGTGCAGCCCGTGAGAGACCACTTCAAGACAAACCCCGATGCGAAGAAACTGCTAGCACAAGTGAAGGTATGTTCCTCTTTCATATGTCTTGCAGAAATTGTTTGATGCATGTACTCATTACGTGCCATCTCACATTGTGTGCAGAGCTACAAGATCACTCGGTAATAGTCACTCCATTTCAGTAACTCATGGTTGGGTCTGATACAAGCCATAAGGAATAGGGTGGAATGATTAAATTGTTGAAGTTTTGTGCAACTCCATGTAATCAAACTGTGTGCAAGCGTTTCTTCAGTATCAAGAAGCCAGCCTGAGACAACCATACAAACTGATTGGCCGCAAATTCGCATGAGGTATAATCCACAATGGGGCAGAGTCATTTGACAGCCGGGGAGTCTACTTGGCAGCTGCCTTGGCTGACTTCGACAATGTGGAATTGGGCTTGGAAGAAGCAGCTGCAGGAGCAGCAGCAGTACCGGCAGCGGGTGCGAATGCTGGAGGGGGGTTGTGCTTGAGCTTCAACAAGACGTGAAATGAGAAAGATTCCACAAATTGAATGATACAGTGAGTGACACACATAAAGATTCCACAAATTAAATCGAGTACAGCAGTGTACCTTGAGGTGAGGAAACTCCTGCAGAAGATGTTGTTTTGGTAATGTTTTAAGATTGGAAATCTACATGATTTCTATTCTCTTGCTTTTTGTTACCTTCAGCAAAATCCCCTCTGCTGAACTGCACCCTTCGCACGATGACGTGGCGCTACCTGCGAGTGTCTTCCAACTCTGCTGACGTCGACTTCACTATAGCAGCCGCCTCTGCTACAGACGCTACTACAGTCGCTGGCACCTTTCACCCCCTGCGCGGGCACCTCTTCCTCCCAAACACCATCAAGCACATCAGCATTGGCTGCCCTGCTACTCCCTCCTGTTAGAAATAGACTGCAAATACCACTTTTGTATTTGTACTTTTATATCCTAGTTTAGGTTGTGAATGTTCTAGTGGGTTGGGGTGTACTCACAAATCCCAACCTCACCCAATTGTGATCCCCCCAATCTCCAATTACCCAATTGGAGATTCCGGAGATCCCAATGGGGATTCCCTCCAATTCCCCCTTCATCCATTCTCTCTCACCTTGCCATGTACTTATAGAGCCTTGGGCTCCTTACCTAATCAATCATTTCAACTCTATTTCTTACATGGTATCAGAGCGACCTATCCGCACACGCGGATCAAGGTCCTAATCTTAACGTGCCCGCGCTACGCGCACTTCATCGTCGCGACATTCGTTTCGAGTCGTCGGAATTTCGACGTGCTCCACTCTGCACTCGCGCCTCTCATCGTCGACCACCTCCACGCTCGACCTCGTTGAATTTCTCATTTCTGAAGCGTTTACGCTTCTCATCGTCAATTTCCTCCTCAATTCTCCTTGGTCGAATCTCAATTTCGACCATCTCTTAAAACTCGTTCTCGAGTTTCCCCTCAGACCCCGCCAAAATAGGCGAACTCCCCTCGCGAAATCGCCTCCACGAACGTCTCGCGTCAAGCAAGACCAGGTACACAGGTTGAAGCGGAGCGGAGCTGGTTGCGGAGCTGGTTGCGGAGCTGTGTAGCTGCGGGACAGGGCCTGGGGGTGTGTGGGGGGGTGTGTGGGTCCGGGGTTAGACATAGGCTCAGATTCAGTTTCAAGTCCGTTTTTTAACGAATTTTCGCCGACGCCATTTCCTTCTTAGCGGCATTTTGATACAGCCGTCAGAGTGATTTTCAGCAATTCTCGTCGACCAATTTCCAGAAGTGTCGCGCTGCACACCGACAATGGCTTACTCTGTTAGAAACAGAAAGGTTCAGTTTATTGATGAAGGAAAGGCATTACATAGGAAGAGAGAGATGAGCTAGGAAGGGAAGGTTGGAAGGGAAGGGGGGGTTAGGACCAATCACAAGGGAGGGAGGCTCCTTCCAAATGTGGTTGACCACCAGTTGGAGGTGGTCCAAGTGTGGTGTACCACCAGTGGTTTAGCCAACCCACTTGTGGTGCCCCCACAATTGTGGTCCTTGTGTTTGGGGGCTCCAACCACAATTGGGTTGGATTGACACCCCAACACAGGTGTACACCCAACTAGGGATGTAAACACAATATACACAACTAGCATAGCATGGTATATTCTAACACAACCCCATAGCATGCAAAGCTAGTGTATATGTAGGGTACAACCCCAGAATCAGGAAGGGGGGCGGGGCCCAAGGCCGAGAAGGCGGAGGAGGGCAGAGTGCGCGGTCTTCGGGAGGGCCTTGGTGAAGATGTCGGCCAAGTTGGCCTCTGCAGCGATCTTGCGGACCACCAAGTGACCTTGCTGGACCAACTCTCGAACGAAGAAGTAGCGGAGTTCAATGTGCTTGGAGCGGCCATGGAAGACAGGGTCCTTTGTGAGATGGATGGTGCTGGCGTTGTCGCACCAGAGGGTGGGACAGCGCTGAGGAGCACCGATCTCAGCAAGGAGGAAGGTGAGCCAGCGAGCCTCCTGAGCGGCCATGGTGCAAGCATAGAGCTCAGCCTCGCAGGATGAGAGGGCAATGGAGGAGGAGCGAGTGGAGCGCCAGCTGATGAGGCCGCTGCCAAGGGTGAAGCCGTAGCCTTGAGAGGAACGGCGATCCGGCTGGGAGTCAGCCCAGGAGGAGTCACTGAAGCCAGAGAGGAGGGGAGGAGAAGAGCCTCCGAGGGTGAGGACATAGTCCTTGGTACCCCGGAGGTAGCGGAGGACCCGCTTCGCTGCAGCCCAGTGCTCATCAGTGTGGCGACCGGTACCGACGAATCGAGCAAGAACACTGATGGGGTAGGCAAGGTCGGGGCGGGTGCACATCATAGCGTACATCAGCGAGCCGACGAGCTCAGCGTAAGGATGGTCAGAGGAGGAGGGAGCAGGAGGAGGGGCAAGCTGGTGGTCGGTCTGCAGGGGAGTGGTAACCGGCTTGGCCTGCGCCATGTCGAACCGCTGCAAGAGTTGGTCGATGTAGAAGGACTGAGAGAGGGTAATGGTGCGCGATGTGCGGTCCCGGGTGATGGTCATGCCCAGATAGTGCTTGAGCTCACCCAGGTCCTTGCACTTGAGGCGCGCATGCAGGGCGTCCTTCACTTGCTGCATGGCGGCAGCATCGTCAGCGAACAGGATCATGTCGTCGACATACACCAGGATGAAGAAGCGGGTGGGAGAGGAGCGAAGGAAAAGGCTGGCATCAGACTGAGAGGCATGGAACCCCAAGGACTGCAGAGTGGCGGCCAGCTTGTTGTGCCACTCGCGAGGAGCCTGCTTGAGGCCATAAACCGGGCGGCGCAGCTCCCAGACTGTGTTGGCAGGGAAGGCTGCATGAAAGCCTGGAGGCCGCCGCAAGAGGACCCGCTCCTGGAGCTCGCCTTGCAGGAAGGCGTTGGAGACATCCATGGAGGCAATCTCCATGCCAATGCGAACAGCATAGTCGAGGATGGCACGGAGAGTTGGGAGCTTGGCAGTGGGAGAGAATGTCTCCCAGTAGTCGATGCCATGGGTCTGGGTGAAGCCCTTGGCACAATACCGGGCCTTGTAGACCGGCTCCTCACCCGGCAGCTGCTTCACTCGGAACACCCACAGGCCTTCAACAATGACGTCGTCAGGAGAGGGGACAACGTCAATGAATGAGGCATTGCAGACGAAGGCCTCGCATTCAGCAAAGATAGCCTGGATCCACTTGGCAGCATCGGGGCAGGTGATGGCCTCAAGGAAGTTGGACGGAGTGAATCTGGTGGGAGCGGTAGCGATGCCAAGGATGAGGAGGCCAAGGAAGCCCGGGTAGAGAGGCGTGAGGGAAGGTGTTTGTTGCTGAACGCCAATGAGCTCCTCATGGGAGTCCTCAATGAAGGGAAGGGAGGGTGGGGGTGGTGTTGGCCAACCCCATGGATGGCCTATGAGTGGGCCGTGAGAGCGAGTGTGGATGCGTGGGAGGATGAACGGAGAGGTGGTGCGGCGATGCCGATGAGGTTGCTGCAGTGGCTGCTGCTGCTGCTGCTGCTGCTGCTGTGGCTGCTGCTGGTGCTGCTGCTGCACCTCCTGCTGCGGCTGCTGTTGCTGCACTGCCTGCGGTTGCTGCTGCTGCTGCTGCTGCTGCTCCATCCACTGCTGCACCTCCTGCTGCTGCTGCTGCTGCTGCTGCTGCTGCTGCTGCTCCATCCGCTGCTGCTGCTGCACCTGCTGCTGCTGCTGTTGCTGCTGCTGCTGCTGCTCCTTCTGCTGCTGCTGCTGCTGCTGCTGCTGCTGCTGCTGCTGCTGCTGCTGCTGCTGCTGCTGCTGCTGCTGCTGCTGCTGCTGCTGCTGCTGCTGCTGCTGCTGCTGCTGCTGTTGCTGCTGCTGCTGCTGGTGCGATGAGGCAGAGTGAGCAGGGGAGTCAGGGACAGCTGGGTCGAAAATGTCACCTGAGGAAGGAGGAGGGGGAGGAGCAAGATTTGGAGGAAGGAGGGGAGCCTTGGGAAGGAGTGGGGGAATGACAGCATCAGCCCAGGTGAGGGGGCGGGAGAGAGGAGGAAGGGGGTCGGAAGGCGGAACAGAATGATAGAACGGGATGCTCTCATCGAACACCACGTCACGGCTCTGTAGGAGGCGGCCTGAGGACGGGTGAAGGAAGAGGTAACCAGGGGCAGAGCGAGCGTGGCCAAGGTAGACACACTCAATGGCCTTGGAGGCGAGCTTTCCTTCCTGCCGAGAGCGGTCAGGTGGGGGGATGAGGACATATGCCTTGCAACCCCAGATACGGAGAATGGCAGCATCTGGCTTGGTGCTCGCCCAGAGCTCAGTGGGAGTGACAGACTGGCGTTGAGGATGTGGGTAAAGATTAGTAAGGAGAGCAGCATGGACAAGGGCATAGCCCCAAAGAGAAGGGGGCGTGGAGGCATGAGTGAGGAGGCAGCGGGCCGTCTTGGTGATCTCACGAATGCGACTCTCAGCAACACCGTTCTGCTGAGGGGAGTGGGGAAGGGTATGAGTCTGCTGGATGCCATGGGTTGAGCAGTAGGAGGAGAGGGTGCGGTTGAGAAACTCACCACCGCCGTCGGAATGGAGGCGGCGGATGGGGCGACCAAAGTGGACTCGGCACTGCTCGGCCCAGGTAACGATGACAGCAGGGGCCTCGGCCTTCGTGTGGAGGAGGAACACCGAGGAGTACCTGCTGTGGTCGTCGACTAGGACAAGCAGGTACCGGTGCCCTTGGCGGGAAGGGGAAGGGTTAGGGCCCCAGAGGTCCATGTGGACGAGGTCAAGGGGGGCAGCAGCAAAGGAAGGATGACTGAGGTGAGGCTGTTGTTTGAGCTTTCCATGAATGCATGTGGCGCATGGGGGAGCGGAAGAGGACGGGAGGGGAGGAAGAGTGGGGGGGAGACCGTCAAGCAAGCGGGAGGAGATGGCTTTACGAAGTGTGGGAAAGTTCATATGACCAAGGCGGTGGTGGATGAGAACAGCGGGGTGGGACAGTGCGCGACAAGAGCATGGAGAGGAGGTGGAGGTTGAGGAAGGTGGCTCTAGAGGGAGGGGAGGGGGGAGAGTGGAGGTGCCTGCACGAGTGGTCACGTGGCATGAGGAGGGGCGGGGTGTGCGGAGGATGTACTGACGAGAGCGAGGGCAAAGTGGGAGGCGATGAAGGAGGCGGCGAGTGGGGCCGTGGAGGAGGTCACAGTAGGTGGCAGAGGCGGGGAAGAGGGTAGTGATGGCAGCCTGTTGGAGTTCACGAATGGAGAGCAGGTTATGACGAAGGGAGGGAATGTGGAGACCAGTGACCACTCCAGAGGGGAAGGGGGGGCAGGGGAGGGTGGAGAGATGGGTGCAAGGGATGGAGAAGCTGGAATCAGCACCATGAACGTTGGTGGGGAAAGGGAGGGAGGTGAGGGTGCCGGCGTCTTTGAGGGCAGTTTCAGTGGCACCACTATCGAGAACAAAGTCAATCGTGAGCGAGGAGGGAGCTGAAGACACGGGGTACTGGAAATCACTGGCATTAAAAACAGAGGGATACATGGAAGTGGAAGCAGGGGAAGAACGCATGAGCTCGCCTAGAAAGCTGGAGTGGGAGGCGGGAGCACTAGGGGAAGGAGAGCCCCAGAGGGGAAAGCCAGGAGGACCTGGTGTGGCTGTGGGAGCCATGGCGGCGGTGCCAAAGCCAAGCTGCTGCTGCTGCCATGCAGATGCTGCGGCTGCGGCTCCTGCAGCTGCGGCTGCAGCCTGACCACCAGAGCCCCACTGCTGCTGCTGCTGCAGCAGCTGCAGCTGCTGGAAGCGGCGAAACTGCTGCAGCTCCTGGGGAGTTATGGGGTCAGCGACAGAGGAGGAGGAGGAGGAGAGCTGAAGATGAGAGGGGAGGAAAGACGGAAGAGTTTTGACATCCTGGAGAGAGGGGCGGGGATCCATGGCAGACCAGCGTGGGGGGGTGCCAGTGTTGCCGCGCTCGAACCAGGCGTCATCATACGCCTTGAAGCAGGTTGCGGGGGGATGGTTGGTTTGGGTGCAGCGCTCACCCGCCCTGGGACCAAAACGGCGAAGATAGGAACATGGGGGAAGAGTGCCAGGGCGGCCACCACGGCTACCAGATGAGCCACCACTGCCTCCACCACCACCACTGCTGCCACCCTCGACCCCGCCACCACCGCCGCCGGCTCCGCTGCCCCCACAACCGCCACCTCCACCCCCTCCCTGAGGGTTGGTGCGGCCGCCACGTGGGCGCCCGCCACGACGCGGCTGTGTGACTGCAAGCTGGGGGTTTTGGGACGCGGTGGAGTTCAGGCCGGAGGGGGGGGTTGAGAGAAGGCGGGCCTCAGCGTCAATGATCCATTGGACCACAGTGTCAAGGGAGGCGCGGGGCTGAGCCTCAGTGAAGGCGATGACGCGCACTTCATATTGAGGGGAGAGGCCTTCGAGGAGACGGTAGATCTGAAGGTTGGGGGGGAGAGTAGTCTGGCGAGCCTCAAGGCGGGAGGCAAGGTCCAGGAGACGGCTGGTGTAGTCAACAGCGCCAGCACTATGTTCGATCGTGATGCTGAAGTATTCCTTGAAGAGCGGTCCGACAGCATCGAAGTCGGTGCGTTCGAACATTGCCTCAAGCTCGAGCCAGATCTGGCGGGAGCCGATGCGACGTGCCTGGAAGTTGCGCATGAGCGCAGACGGGATGGCAAGGAGAAGGGCACCAGTAGCACGGCTGTCCGCCTCGAGCCAGGCGCGACGACGCTCAGCAAATCGCGCAGAGTCAGCGGCATAAGCGGCGGCGGTAGCGGCATGCTGGGTGCGGAGGGTTGCCGACCGCTCGTGTTCCTCCAACGCGATCAGGTAATCAGTATGGAGCACGAGGAACTCACGACGCTGAGTAAGGAAGAGCTGCTCAACTTCAGCGGTGGCAGCGCGAGTGCTGGTGCCAACGGGTACTATGGGGGGCGAAGGTTCCTCGCCGGGATGGGGAATGAGAGGGGGGGGATCGCCAGGGTGAGGCGGCGGGTCCCCAAGGTCACCCTCTGGGAGACCAAGCATGATGTCCAGGAGGCGGAACGGCAGGACATAAGCACTGCCGAGGACGCGGTGGAGGCTGCCGACGAAGGAATACCAATTGGTTGCTGAGTTGTCGGCAGCGCGCACGAGATGATCGAGGGTCGAGACGTCAACGGGAGGGGGAAAGGATGCCATTGGTGACACGGAGTGGGAGGAAGGCGACGGCGGGTGGACCCGCGGTGGCCGGGAGGGAGCGGCGGCGGGTGGACCCGCGGCGGCTCAAAGAGGAGGGGAGGATGGGGATGGCTGTAGATACTGCTGCTGCTGCTGCTGCTGCTGCTGCTCCTTCTGCTGCTGCTGCTGTTGCTGTTGCTGCTGCTGCCGCTGCTGCTGCTGCCACAGCTGCTGCTGCCGCTGTTGCTGCTGCTGCTGCTGCTACTCCTTCAGCTGCTGCTGCTGCTGCTGCTGCTGCTGCTGCTGCTGCTGCTGCTGCTGAGTCTGCTGCTCCTTATGGTGCTGCTGCTGCTTCTGCTGCTGCTGCTACGGCTGCAGCAGTGGTAAGGCGGCGATGAGCAGGTGCAGGTGAGGAGGCAAAAGATGGGGAAAGATGGCAGTTAGCTGATGAAAATAGGACTTGGTAGAAATTTCAGTAGCACTTCGTGATCACATCCAGGAAAGTGTGCAGACTTCGGAAAGCGATATCTGACAATCCAAGCGATGAAACAGTCCCAAATTTTACGACGTTGTAGCTGACACCAAGAGCGTTCTTTTGCAAGTCGAATCACTCAATTCTGTCAACTATCGAGCGAGCTATGGCGTTTGGCGCATTGGGGGTTTTTGAAAATCCACCCAACAGAAAACTAGTTGAGAGGCGGCGGCTAGGAGTCTAGCAGCGGCGATGGAGGGGACGGCAATGAGGTGCACGTCGGAAGGGGACGGGGCGGAAGCGTGGGGAAGGATCGGGATTTAAAAGTTGGCGTGAGCCATTATTGCTCTATACCATGTTAGAAACAGAAAGGTTAGTTTATTGATGAAGGAAAGGCATTACATTGGAAGAGAGAGATGAGCTAGGAAGGGAAGGTTGGAAGGGAAGGGGGGGTTAGGACCAATCACAAGGGAGGGAGGCTCCTTCCAAATGTGGTTGACCACCAGTTGGAGGTGGTCCAAGTGTGGTGTACCACCAGTGGTTTAGCCAACCCACTTGTGGTGCCCCCACAATTGTGGTCCTTGTGTTTGGGGGCTCCAACCACAATTGGGTTGGATTGACACCCCAACACAGGTGTACACCCAACTAGGGATGTAAACACAATATACACAACTAGCATAGCATGGTATATTCTAACATACTCAACCACTTCACTCGCCAACCCGATCCCGCTCCTTCGTCTCGAGCCTGACGGTACATGCTCCAACTACAAGGCTTGGCGCTATGGTGTCGACAAGCACCTCCTCAGTCGCGAGGTGAAGGGGCTCGAGCTCACTGACGTCCTTCTCAACATCGGTGACGGCAAAGAGCCTCCTAAACCCGAGAGGTCCGCCGATCCAGCTAATGCCGCCGCCGAAGCAGTTTATGCTGCTGCACTGCTCAAGTACAAGAATTGGGAGAAGGCCGATGGTGCGGTCATTAGTGTCTTCATGGGCACCACTCCTCGCGAACTCGTCGAAACCTACCACAACTACCCGTCTGCCAACGCCATTTGGCTCTACCTCGAAGATCGCTTCCTGAACAAGACTGCAGTGGGAGTTGCTATACTCATCCCCAGCATGTTCCAAGTGCGACTCGAGGACTCACCAGACATGGCGGACTATGTCACCAAGGTGCAGTCCATTCATGGTGAACTCAAACAGTTGGGGATAGTCTTCCCCAAGCAAGCCCCTGCAGCCGCTCTCCTAGTCGGCCTCACTCCGGCATATGAAGTCACACGCAAGATGCTCTTGGGCCTTGCTCCTGCAGACCTCACATTTGCCAAGGTCTCCTCCGCGCTCCTTTCTGCCGAAAAGGACAACAGCGCTCAAGCCAAGGCCAATGCAATCCGCGCTCCCGTGCCTCAAGCCTATGCCGCGTCGGTGCCATTCCTGCGCAACCGCTTCCCCCCGTGTCCCTACATCATCAAGCGCGGCCCTCGTGCTGGCCAGGTGTGTGGCGGAACCAACCACGCCCTTGCTTCCTGCTTTAAGAAGAAGGATGACGAGTGGTATGCCGTCAATGGGACCGCCTCCAAGCCGCCAAGCTGGATGGTCAATCGTGCTCCTCGCCAAGTCAATCAAGTCGAAGCGCAGGAATCCGTGCAGGCTGCTGTGGCTGCCACTGCTGATGTGCGCCTCAACATGTTGTTCCCTTGCACTGCCATGATTAATGAGACGATTTCGCAGTATCCTGGCTCACAAAGCACCTCAGCCACAATAGAGTTCATCCTCGACAGTGGGGCCACTCACACGGTTCTCAAGGAAGAACACTCCTTCAAGCCATACGAGACACCAATCCGTCTACTTGGAGCAGACTCCAGTTTCACAACACACGCCAAGGGCTCCTCCACAGTTCCGTGCCCAGCTTTTCCTTCGGGCAGTGTGACTGGCATGTGTGTCCCCACTCTACGCCACAATCTCGTGGCCCAACTCGAGCTTCAACAGGCAGGCGTCACCACGATCTTCCCAGCACACTCGGATCACTGTGACCTCTTCGACCCTAAGTCCAACAAGCTCCTAGCACGCTTCGCACTCAACAGTAGCAAGCTCTACACGCTGCGTTCACCTGCACCTCTCGCTGCCCTCTCCCAAGCGCAAGCTGCCAGCACCACTCCGTGTTCGTGTCGCAGCTTCGCCAACCCAACCATCCTCTACCACCATCGCTTGGGTCACCCCAACTTCCGTACACTTGCCGACATCGCTTCCAAGAAACTTCTTCTTGGCCTCCCGTCGGCGCTTCCTCCACCAACAGACTCACCTGTACCCACCTGCTTGGACTGCACCAAGAGCAAGCTCAGGCAGCAGCCGCACCCTTCCTCCCCATTCGTCGCACCTGCTCCGCCGGACCTAGTGCACATGGACGTCTGGGGCCCAGCTCCAGTCGCATCCCAAGGCGGTCATCGGTACTTTCTTACACTAGTCGATGACCACTCGCGGTATGTTACTGTGCACCTCCTGCATACCAAGGGGAAGGCACCTGATGTCACCATGGCGTGGGTGCGCCAGGCTCAAGTCACGTTTGGCACTCTTCTGAAGTGCCTCCATTCTGATGGCGGGGGAGAATTTCGCAATGGCAAACTCGATAACTTCTGTGCGGCCCAAGGGATTCGGCAAACCTTCACGCTCCCCGAAAGCCCGCAGCAAAACGGCATTGCAGAGAGCCGCAACCACACCTTGGTTCAGATCGCTCGCTGCCTCCTCAGTCACGCCAACGCACCACGGTCACTCTGGGGATATGCCCTCTTCCATGCGTCACTCCTCTACAATCTTTATCCGCATCCCCACCGGCCCGACACCACACCTACCGCTCTTTGGCTTGGGGTTACGCGTTCCGCCCGCTCTCTACGCGTCTTGGGATGTACCGCGTATGTGTTGCTAAGCCCCCACATGCGCAGGAAGCAAGGTGGCAAGCTTGATCCCAAAACCCAGACCTGCATATACCTGGGGCACAACTCTGACTCCCCAGACTACTTATTCCTCAACCCAATCACCAGACAGCTGATTCGCAGCCGTGATGTCGTCTTCAATGAGACACGCCCATTCCACTCTGCGACCACGGGCGAGCCTCCTCCACCTCCCCCGACGCTTGTTTGGGCAGACTTCGATGCCCCACCTCCGGCCGCTGCCCCTTCTCCGGGGCCTTCTCCGTCCGGCGTGTCTCACCCGGCCTCCCCAGTATCCTCCGCAGCGGTACCTCCTCCTGCTCCGCCTTCCCCGCGCGTCGAGCCCGGCTCACCAGTCTCCTATCGGAGGCGCCCAGTCCCTCCGGTCCCACCGCAGCCGCCTTCGTCTCCGGTCTCTAGTCGCACTCATTCCAAGGGACCGGCTCCGCCTTTCGCCTTGGGACCAGCCGCCTTCTCCATCCGCTGTTCGGTCACCCCACCTCCTCCTGCCGGGGGTGATGTCCCCTCCATCCGTATTCCCCCCCGTGCACTTCTGGAGGACAGGCATGAGGAGCTGTTTGACCTTCACGCGGTCTGCCAATTTCTCTCTCACATGTTCCCGGACATTACTGACTGCCCTTCCCTCAACTTCACCGAGAACCCGACCATTCCGACTCCTCGCACAAAAGAGGAAGCTCTCTCGGGGCCTTATAAGAAGGAGTGGAAGGCAGCAATGGATGTGGAGAACGAGGCGTTCATTCGCAACAACAGCTTTGACGATGTTGTTCCCCCTTCCGGTGTCAACATCGTCGGCGGAAAATGGATCTTCCGAGTCAAACAACTCCCAGGCGAAGCTCCACTCTTCAAGGCACGATACGTGGCGAAGGGTTTCACCTAGAAGGAGTATCTCGACTTCTTCGAAACATTCTCGCCCACGGCCAAGCTCCCGACTGTGCGCGCTCTTCTTGATATAGCCGCTCGCGGCAACTTCGAGATCAAGTCCATGGACGCCTCCTCCGCCTTTCTCCAAGGCCAGCTCAAGGAGGATGTTCACATGGAACGCCCACCGGGGTTTCCTGGCACTTACCCTGCCAACACAGTGTGGAAGCTGAAGCGCCCAGTGTATGGCCTCAAGTAGGCTCCTCGTGAGTGGCACAACAAGGTGAAGGAAGTCCTCCTCGCACTTGACTTCCATCCCTCTGCCTCAGATTCCAGTCTCTTCGTTCGTCACTCCTCCGAGCCCTTCTACATCCTCGTCTACGTCGACGACTTCATTCTAGCCGCCAGAGATCCAGTCGACATGGCAGCTGTCCAGTCTGCTCTCAGCTCCGCCCTTCTCATGAAGGATCTTGGTGACCTCAAGAACTACCTGGGGATGGAGATCACTCGTGACTGCCAAGCTTGCACGATCACCCTCTCCCAGGAGTCCTACATCGACAACCTTCTCAAGCGGTTCGACGTGGACTCCAGTAACTCTGTCTCCACTCCACTCCCATTACAGCATCAGCTCACGGCCCCTCCAGTTCCTTCTCTTGACACCTGCAAGGACCCGTACCCTGAGCTAGTCGGTTCACTCATGTATGCCATGATGTGCACTCGACCAGACTTGGCTTACCCGGTTAGTGTCCTCTCTCGGTACGTCTCCCCCGGACGCTACACTGCCTCGCATTGGTCTGCAGCCAAGAGGGTCCTCCGCTATCTACA